TTCACTGAGATAAGAGCCTTTAAACTTGCTTTTTTCTACTTTTTGCCAAGATGCTTCCTGTCAGTGGGTGTGGCTTCACGTGACATCACAATGAGCATACAGATGTTTTTTTGCATGCAAGTTCATGTTGGCAACTGGCAATGAAAATGCACAAAAGATGTGTTCCCTATGGCTGCAATAATACTAGTTCAGTAGATGGTTAAGTGTCTTTCATTTTCCAAGTGACTCTATTCTAAAAAATCGATGGACATGACAAGTGAAAAGATCAAGAAATAAATGAAAAGGACCTACTACTAATTGTGTAATGTGTTCAAATTGTTATTTTGTCTAAAGATTTATTTGAGGATCTCTTATATGGTACTTCATTTGGTTCAAAAGTCAAAAGGAGATTGAAGAAAGATACTGTACCACCAACGTTTAAAAGAGAAAAATAAAGATCTACCTAATGCAATAAGATCTGCTTATGAGCAGAGGGAAAGACATATGGTAAAATATACTGTAACCACAGCATTTATTATAGGTTTCACATAAGGTTTTTTAAAATGTTAGACGTCCACCTACATGTATATTGAAATATATTGGCCAATAAAACGATGGTTATGTTAAAAATGAGTCATCACAAGTAGATTGGCTGGACCGCTGTCTTACTCGATGTTGTAATGCAGTGCCATTTGTTAGAGATGGAGATGCTGATATATTTTGTTCTTATTAATTAGAGTACATGCATAACACTTATGTATCAGTTATGTATTTAAAATTGTAATGCACATGTTCAGTTTAACTGTTAATTGTTGTGTATTCGATCATTGTGATTTTGGCTAAAAGTGAATTTTTATTATTGTTGGCTATATTACACTGGTGACAAGGGAATCTTAGGATGGCTGAGAACACTCCATATGGCAATCTAGAAGATTTTTCTATGAAGATAGAAATGTTTGCCTCCTCCAACAAAACAAAATGCTCTTCCTTCAAGCTTACGCTGTTCCTGATGACAGGCAGGTTGCTGTTGTCCTTAATGCGGTGGGTGCGATGAATTGCCCAAACTGAGAGGCTTGGTTGCACCCGTAAAGCCAATGAAAATACTGTGTCAGAACTGTTAGACTTGTTCAAAGGGCATTATGAGCCTAAACCGGTTATAATTGCTGAAAGGTATCATTTTGACACATGCCATCAAAAGGAGGAGTCAGTTGCTCAATATGCTGCTGAATTGAGACACTTAGCTTTAACCTTTTCTTTTGGAGATTACCTGGATGATGGCCTTAGAGACAGGCTGGTATGTAGGATTCTGTCAGCTGGGGCTTGTAAGAAGCTTTTAGCTGACAAGAAGATACAATATCAAGGAGCAGTAATTATAAAACAATAGAGAAAGATTCCTGTTCTCAGCATGAGTCAGGAGACGCCCACAAGGTGACATACAAAGTAAAAGATACAAGAGATAAGCCATGCTACCGCTGTGGCAGACACGACCATGCCTCTAGCACTTGAAGATTTTGCAATGCTCGTTGCAACAATTGTTCCAAATTAGGACATATTGCAGCAGTTTGTAGGAGTATTCAAGCAAAGAAAAATAACAGGAGTCAAGGAAAAACACAAAGTGGATGAGCAAGTGGATAAAACCTCAAGGAAGTCAAAAAATGATTTGGGAGTGTTCCAAGTTCAGTCAATATTATCACAATCCCCGCCAAAAAAAATTAGCCTCAAACTGAATGGTCAGACTGTAGAAATGAAACTAGATACTGAAGCATCTCTATCACTTACTTCAGAAGAGATCAGGAATAAATATCTCCCTCATGTACCGCCTCAACCCACTCACATTTGACTACAGACATATACGGTCGACATATTGAGTAAATGTTAGGTCATATTTAAGTATGAGATGCAAGAGAAGAACCTACTTGTAAAAGTAGTTGCTGGTGAACAACCTTGCCTGTTTCGATGGAATTGGTTAAACCATTTTGTTGCATTGGAGTTGCATTTCTTAAGAGTCCTACGCAAGGAAGCACAAAATTGATAAGGTACACAGTAAATATCAGGTGACAAAACAGGAATAATGATAAACTTTAAGGCTAAGCTCTAGCTGAATAAGGATGGTATCCCTCCATTCCATTGCTCGCTTCATGTACCATTTGCAATGAAAGGGGCTGTTGGGCAATAGTTGATTATTTGAAACGCCATGGGATTTTGGAAAACCTAAAGACCAGCGAATGGGCAGTACCTTATGTAGCTGTGCCTAAGAAGGATGGTAGAATACTTGTGCTTGGAGATTACAAGGTCACCAATAATCCTACTTTAAATATTGATGTGTACCTTCTTCCAAACGTTGATAAGATGTTTGCAGTCATGGCTGGAGGGAAAAAGTTTTTAGTAAGCTGGACTTTGCTATTGCTTATCAGCAAAAGGAGCTGAAAAAATTCTTCACGAGATCTGGGACAATAAACACACAAAGGGATATATCGCTATACATAATTGCCTTTTGGAGTGGCTTCGGCCCTCACCATTTTCCAGCGTACTATGGACAACACCCTCGAAGGACTGCATAAGGTAGGTGTTATATCAACGTGACAGGTGTGGATGACAGTTATCATTTGAGGACACTGGAGGAAGTGCTGCAATGACTGTAGCAACAGGGAGAGAAAGATAAATGCACCTTCTAGAGTAAATCAGTTGAATTTTTAGTTATAGAATTAATGCACAAGGGTTGTATACCACCCCAGATAAGTATTGAAAGCCCCTTATACTAGTAATGTAGAAGACCATTCTTGGGTCATTTAAAATACTATAACAGGTTTATTGGCCTCAACACTTCACCCACTGCATAATGTACTTACAAAGCACAACAAAGGACCACAGCATGTAGTTATGAGGTTAATGAGGCAAGGCATTAAGTAGTATCCTCAGATATATTGGTCCATTTTACGAGTTTACCAGTAAAATTACAGATGGGAGCTATCATCTCTCATATTTGTAAAGATGGCAAGAAGTGCCCAATTGCTTTCGCATCACGGACAATGAGTAAATCAGAAAAAAAAATATTCCCAATGCGAGAAAGAAGCATCGGCTATAATTTTTGGAATTAAAAAACTTCATAATCATCAGTATGGGAAGCCTTTTGTTTTGGGTATGGACAATAAACCCCTAACAAGAATTTTGTCCCACGGCAATGCTGACCCCACCCTAATTGCAGCTCATCTGCAAATATGGGCATTGTTATTGTCAGCTTATTCCTATTGTAAAGGGAACTGCTACATTTATCAGCATGGAAATGCTGATAGCTTATCATGATTGCCTCTCCTCAGTGCCCTAAAAAACAAGTAGATGGTGAAATGTTATTCAAGATCATATAAAAGTAAGTAAAATTGTGGACTTTACCAGGAGAGGCTGCCCAAAAACAATGTATGAGGAGTGGAGGAATGAGCTATCAGTAGAGGTTGGGTATCTGCTTTTGGGGGCGAGTGGTAATAATACCTAAGAAACTGCAAAAACAAGTGCTACTGGAGTTTCACATAGGTCATCCCAGAATTTGTCAAATGAAGTCACTGGTCCAAAGTCACCTGTGGTGGCCCAATCTTAAAGCTATATTGATGGTGAAATCATGTTGTTCATGCCTGGAAGTGAAATCAACAATGACGACCCACTCCTCACCCTTGGACATGGCCAAGCAAACCATGGACTAGGGTACACCTACTTTATGCTAATCCACTTTACAAGAAAATGTATTTACTGGCAGTGGATGCTTGGTCTAAATGGCCTAAGGTATGGGAGATGTCTTTAACAACTGCTGAACGTACAGTTAAGATACTAGGTCAAAATTTCGGTTTATATAGTTTACCAGAACAGATTGTCAGAGATCAACAGCCACAGTTTGTGGTAGAGCAGTTCTGTTCCTTTTGAGAGAGAGAAGGGTTAAAGTCTTTTGTTCTGCCCCTTATCATTTCACCACAAATGGAGCAGTGAAACGGATTGCCAAAACCTATAAGCAAGCTCTAACGATTGCGAAGCAGGAAGGGAAGCTCTCTAGTCAAGAAGTAATAGACAGATTCTTGTTTCATTATCGCTCCACTCCTTATGCAACAACAATCTCCAACCGGCTGAGGTACTTTTAGGTCGACCATTACAGACAAGCCTAGACCAGATGAAACAGAGACCATAAGCTCGCCAGAAGCATTATTTTGATAGACATGGATGTGATAGAGCTTGGGCAGAAAGAGTGAATATTGTTGGGGAATAGACTTCAATTTGCAAAATTTGCCAAGATTTTACTCACCAATTTGTGTAGCTGTAAGGTAGGAGGAGACTGGTTGAAGAGCATCATTACACATTGGTGTCAGTGTGTGACAAACAATACAGATGGAAATTCCAAAATGATTATAGACAAATGGCTCTCACTGGGTAACCACATCCACAAGGAACACCATCATTTTGGTCTATTCAAGAAATGTGCCCATTAGAAGGTACAAGGAGGAGTAAATAAGTAATGGTTCAAACGATGTAAATATTCATTGCATATAATTAAGGGAATTAAAATTTATTATTAGACAACAAAGCTAGTGTCAAAATCACTGACACTATTCAATACAAGTCTGTGCAATCAAATCAAGAAGTTGTCACCTTCATATCCAACTTCATCAATTGAAGCGTTTCAGTGTCATCATCCAATTTGCACACAAATTAAGATGCTTCTCTTACAAAAGGAACGTTAGCTCAGTCAGTAGCATTATAACTCAGTCATATTCATTTATACTTTTTCTGCATCAATTAGATTATGCTCAGCAGCTCTACACTTTAATGAAAATAGCAACAAGAAACAATCCAAGACTCAAGTAGGCACTGACAGATATCCAAAATATAAGGATGGAGGCCACATTGTTACGCTAATAAGAGATATCTACTTACAGTAGGCATCCACACTGTCTAACAATAAGGCTGCTACAATTAAATTCATTGTTTCTCAAATGTATAGCAAATGTGGGCGGAACCCGGCAGGCGCTAATTATCAGTTATTAATTATTATTGATGACTCTTATCAAAACACAATAGAACTAAGTTTCCTTTCTTTTAACTTATTTGACTTGAGGTTGTGAACGACACTGCACACACTGAGGATAGTTATCAGGGTCATCTTCACAACTGCTACCACAATAGCAACAAATTGTTTCGTATCCTGATAAATAGTACAACTTTTCTGTTGGATCATGACAAAAGTGCTCTTTTACTTTAACACTCTTGAGACTGTCTGGAAGATCAATTTCATCAAACAACATTCCACACGTATAAGAAACTTCTAGAAGCACTTTTTGTAAATCGTGTTCACTTAGTAAATCTTGCTTTCTTTTTGAAAATAGTAATCTCTACATATCACACTCTTCACATTGAATGAGAACTCCAATGTTTTTGACATTTTGTTGAGTGGAAGAGTAATCTAGTGTCTTCTTTGTGCCTTTTTTTGCTTTAACGAAGGCTTTACAGATCTAAGATTTTGCTCATTCTCTTAAAAATTAGCACCGTACACTTCAGAAAACTCTTTGTAATGCCCTTCCTCCCCAATTACAGGATCTAGTAAAGAAGAAATGTCTAATAAGAAGAGGTGCAAAATTACTTTTAATAAAATAAATAATGTACAAAATAAGAGTTTAGCTACTTGTACATGTAAATTGTAAATCATTGAATAACATGAATTGACATGATTAACTTCAATGCATTGCATGTTATATAATGCTAACTTGAAAATTGCTCTGAAGACATTTTGACTGGAGTGCAAAGGGTACATTCAGGTTTCCCACACTTCTTAATGGTGATTGAACACTTACTGCATGTACAGCAGTTGAAATATAATTGTTCAAAGAAGTCAACTTGGTAGGAGCAGATTTTGTTGTGTTCTGTGTTGTCAGTGTTGAATCAATTAAAAGTAAAACCTCCCAAAAAGCATCAATTTTGGACTGTGATGTGCTATTAAACATTTCAATATTTTTACCTCTTAATTGTAAGCGTTTTAAAACATTAGAAAAAGGAGTTCCTTGACTGGTGCTAAAGATTCTTCAACATCATTTTTGAGGTCACAACACCCTGCTCGGAGTTCGTTTAAAGTATTACAGTTAGAAACAATGTTTTCAAACTTGTCACCCATCTTCCCCCTCATGATACCAACACATTGTAGACCAAGATTTATAATTGACATTATGGTGAAGTACATGCAGCAATAAGGACATCGAGATCTAAGTTCTTGAACAGTGCAACAAGAGATAATTGTACAGAAATATAAGTAAGGCAATGGTCAGGTCCCCCATCAGAGTACACAAATAAAATGTGACGTCCCACCATTTTTGAAACTAGAATACTATAAAGCTCTTTTGCATGTCGAATGGCATATGATGGTTGAAAAACGGAGTCTTTAATACCAATATACACATCTCCTGTGTACCAACACTCATTAATTGCTTGTGGAATATTAACAATCACAGCTACACTAGGTGTCAAGCTAAACTTAGAGAAATCATGATCTGCAACTATGAACGTTTTGTTGAGAGACAACTACAACTTCCTTGCCTCTTTCCACTGCAGCAACTGGGTAATTGGTTCTCCAACACTGATTTTATGTTTGTCATCTATACATGCAAATAAAGATACATCTCTAAAACGAATTGCATATTCTCGTTCATAATGAAACAATGCTGCACAGAAGTGTGCATCAGGATGAAACTTCCGTAGTTGCCGTCTTTGAACCATGTGTTTCGCTTGAAGACGACATTTATAATGTTTTGCAGTCGCAGAATGTGGATTTCTTGAAAAAATGAAATTGTACCCATGCATTTGAATGTATTGGGGATATCTTCAAGACATATATCACGTACCGTCTCAAACAAATCTTTAATTAAAACGGCTTTCATGACAAACACTTGTGCAAGACTGAAGAAACTCATTACACTTAGACCAAAATATACTAAAAGTGTCTTTATCACTGGAGTTGAATTCTCGTAAATTGATTACGATATCCATATTTTCCAGTGACAATGCTTCCTGCACACATGCAACAACCTCACTTTTACTAGTCATTCTTGATGCTGACGAATCGCCAACTAATGTATTGCATATGTTACGTAATATATAAGGTTTACTTTCAGGTGATAATTCTTCCATATAAATCACAAAACAATTGCTTCATGGCTCTGGTATGATATTTAGGGATCTTTTTTTAATTTCTCCAACAATTTCATTATAAAATGCCTCTTGATTACGTGGATGAGGAACAGTTGCTTCATGGCTCTGGTATGATATTTAGGGATCTTTTTTTAATTTCTCCAACAATTTCATTATAACACGCCTCTTGATTACGTGGATGAGAGATAAAATGGTAATTACCAACATTAGACCAATGACATTAGGTTAGTAAATAAATAGGGACTGAAAGTCCATTTAGTAATTCGTGAATGAAAATATAGTGACGTCTTTTCTCCTCAGGGCAAAAATCTCTAAGATATATTTTATTATAGAAAGCTGTTTTCTTTACAGTATGATCTACACTTGCTAGCAGTACAGGTACAGAAGACACTGGAGTAACATACTTTAAGTGTGACAAATCTTCAAATGTTGTAGCTGGTTCTGAAGACGCATGATGAAGTTTCATAGACTTGTTTTTCATTGATAAATATGAAGAATACGATGCAAAGGATTCCACTAATTTCAATAAGTTTTCTTTAAGTAGCTTACACTTCTTTTGCTAAATCCAGCTCGTAATCATGTAATCTTGTAACTCAGAACAAAACTCACCTAATTTGTCACGGCTTAAGTTAGATATAGATCTTTACCTGTGTTTACTACATTCGGGCGTATTATAACCACAGAATTGGGAAAACAACAAAGGTATTGCAAGTACTTCATGTTGCCCATCTACGTATCACAGCGTATGACATTGCATATCAACGAATGGTTTTCCATACACTTCAGGATCTGTCCCAGCTACATTCATGGTACAGGAATTTCAATATCTCATTACATAAACTATCTTTTCTAGTTTTCTCATGAAACATCATAGGAAGACTTTTTTGATGATCCACTTCATTTCGTACTTCACTGATATTTTCTAAACTGACAATCATTACATCCTGAGTACTACCTTCGGATACAATAAACTTTAAACAGCTTCCAATTTCCAATTGGAATTTCCAATCAGTCAAATTTCTGCAAAAAATGCCAATTTTACAAACTTTCTGTAGAAAATTTACAAAAATTATTAAAATGACATTAATTGTGCAGAAACAGATTAAAAACTGTCAAAAGTCAGAGGACATTTGAGTCATTATGGCTGGTATAGCTTGCAGCGCATAGCCTACTTTTGACAATCCATAATGAAGCTGCTCTTGTGTGGTTCATCAAATTTCATGTACTAATTTTGTTTACCAGTGTTAGAACACAAGAATAAACTATTAAATATGCAAAATACACAAGAACAGCTTCATTATGGATTGTCAAAAGTAGNCTATGAGCTNCAAGCTATACCANCCATAATGACTCAAATGTCCTCTATCATGAATTATAAGCACAAAGTATCACTTTCACCACAGGATTAAAGCTACAAGGTATAAAATGAAATCTAACAAAGATATCATCAACTAATTTTACATTGCAGTCAATGGTAAAAGTCAACCATAAGCCTTGTATGACATCACGTTTAGCCACGCCCTCTGACGGGATGTAAAATGGCAGGAAGCAAAATGAGCAACTGTGAAGGCTCATATCTCTGTGAATAATTTTTTCCAGACAATAAAATTTTCCATATAGCATTTTCATGATCATATGATCATGTTAGGTTAATAAAAAAAATACCCCAAAAAATCATGTCAGTTACACTTTAATAACTATTCGTAACTACTAAAAAATAAGTCGCGGAGTGTATCACTGTTTCCAATCCCGTATACATAGTCTCTAATATCTATGGTTACAAAGGGCACTGAGTCAATTCCTACTAACATACAGAACCACTCCGCATAGTACTACTGCAGAAACTCCATCGTTCCTTTTTTGAAGAACGAGGCCGATTTGATTTGTTACGACCAATTATAGAAGAAACAGTTAGAAAGGTTATTATGATAAAAAGGGTAATTAAGGAAATTTAGTAAAGGGCAAGAAGTGATGATTCAAAACTACAAAGGAGACAAATGGGTGCCTGGTGTAATTATGGAGAAAAAAGGTCCAGTGACATACATGGTAAAGGTGGGAGATTAAATATGCAAGAGACATGCAGACCAAATAAAAAATAAAAAAATAGATGACTATTTCCCAATGGAGAGTACAGAAGATACTGACGACACAGCAGTAGATCTACAGCCTACAATGGAAGCTCAGGAAGACAAGGATCCAAATCATGAAGACCGTCCAGCTGGAAATTAGCTGGAGAATCATCATTATCCTGAAAGGACACAAAAACCTCCAGACCGTTATTATTAAGGAGGAAATGTGGTGTATTAACATACAATTCATAATGTTTAATAACTATTAAGAGCATGCTCAGTTAATGTCTTATGTAAATAAATGTATGTTAGAGTATAGACAATTAGAGAACGAGAGCGAGTGATAGAGAGAACTTCATTTTTGTTTATTTCTGTGGTGTTTACTCTGGCTGATTTGTGTCCTCTGATTTATCTATCATTATAATCAATTCTTGACTTTAAACACAGAACAATTTTAAGGCAAAAAATTGACAAATCCTCATTTAATCACTTATTTCACATTTAGTTGGCTGGGTATGATTGTCATTTGAAAGCTAATATTGCTGGAGATTTATGGATTGGATGTGATTCATGTAGCAATTGGTACCGTTATACATGTTTAGGATTTGCCTAGATACCCAGAGTATCTAGGCAAATCCTAAACATGTA